CCCACCATCTCATCTTAGCATTTTGCAGCAGGGAGGAGGATGGAACTCCCCCTACAGATCCTGCACTTCTCTGTGCAGCCATGGAGAGGCTCATCCCTACCCACCCTCGTCTCAGCAGTCGGAAGCAAGGAGCAGGACAGAACTCCTCCTACAGATCCTGCACTTCTCTGTGCAACCATGGAAAGGCTCACCTCCAATAGCTCCCCCCCCCCCCCTGTTGTATTAGCAGTCGGCAGCAGGGAGGAGGACAGAACTCCTCCTACAGATCCTGCACTTCTCTGTGCAGCCATGGAGAGGCTCAACTCTACCACCTCCCCCCCCCCCCCCCCCATCTCAGCAGTCGGCAGCAGGGAGGAGGACAGAACTCCTCCTACAGATCCTGAACTTCCCTGAGCAGCTATGGAGAGGCTCATCTCTCTGGTGCGGATGTCAATGATAAATTAATGAAACAGAACGCAAAGCGCAATGCGATTGTGAGATTGTGAGAACACCCATGCGATGCGATGCGATACGAGTGCGGATTTAAAAAAGGATTGGTGCGGATATGATGCGATTCGAGCCAAGTGTATGCCTCAGATCACACCGCACAGACATTTCCATGTCATTCACACAGGCCGTGCGATTCCTGCGCCAATGACATGCGTTGCCCCGCCCCGCACAGTGCGAACCCGGCGCTTCCAATCATTTTATTTTAAATGTTACAAAGTAACAAATTCAGAGCTAAACGCAGCGACTTCATCTCCCCGTGTGACTCAGCGACAGGTCACCGCTAAGAATAGAGCCGCGCTCCGTCCTCTCGCCGCGCTCCGTCCTCTCGCCGCCCTCGCCTCTTTTACTTCTTATCGCCGTGAAGTTTTCTTGGCTCCGTCCAGTAATAGGGTGGAGGGCGACCTTTGCTCTTTCCTGGATTAGTATTAATGGCTGCGACTCCGGGAAGCCGGAAACATGTGCAATATATTCCAGCAGGAAGCCGGAAACATGTGCAATATATTCCAGCAGGAAGCCGGAAACATGTGCAATATATTCCAGCAGGAAGCCGGAAACATGTGCAATATATTCCAGCAGGAAGCAGGAAAAATGTGCAATATATTCCAGCAGGAAGCAGGAAAAATGCGCAATATATTCCAGCAGGAAGCAGGAAAAATGTGCAATATATTCCAGCAGGAAGCAGGAAAAATGTGCAATATATTCCAGCAGGAAGCAGGAAAAATGCGCAATATATTCCAGCAGGAAGCAGGAAAAATGTGCAATATATTCCAGCAGGAAGCAGGAAAAATGTGCAATATATTCCAGCAGGAAGCAGGAAAAATGCGCAATATATTCCAGCAGGAAGCAGGAAAAATGTGCAATATATTCCAGCAGGAAGCAGGAAAAATGTGCAATATATTCCAGCAGGAAGCAGGAAAAATGCGCAATATATTACAGCAGGAAGCAGGAAAAATGCGCAATATATTCCAGCAGGAAGCAGGAAAAATGTGCAATATATTCCAGCAGGAAGCAGGGAAAAATGTGCAATATATTCCAGCAGGAAGCAGGAAAAATGTGCAATATATATTCCAGCAGGAAGATGGAAAAATGTGCAATATATTCCAGCAGGAAGCAGGAAAAATGTGCAATATATTCCAGCAGGAAGCAGGAAAAATGTGCAATATATTCCAGCAGGAAGATGGAAAAATGTGCAATATATTCCAGCAGGAAGCAGGGAAAAATGCGCATATTACAGCGGGAAGCAGGAAAAATGCGCAATATATTCCAGCAGGAAGCAGGAAAAATGTGCAATATATTCCAGCAGGAAGCAGGAAAAATGTGCAACATATTCCAGCAGGAAGCAGGAAAAATGTGCAATATATTACAGCAGGAAGATGGAAAAATGTGCAATATATTCCAGCAGGAAAAATGCGCAATATATTACAGCAGGAAGCAGGAAAAATGCGCAATATATTCCAGCAGGAAGCAGGAAAAAATGTGCAATATATTCCAGCAGGAAGCAGGAAAAATGTGCAATATATTCCAGCAGGAAGCAGGAAAAATGTGCAATATATTCCAGCAGGAAGCAGGAAAAATGTGCAATATATTCCAGCAGGAAGATGGAAAAATGTGCAATATATTCCAGCAGGAAGCAGTAAAAATGTGCAATATATTACAGCAGGAAGATGGAAAAATGTGCAATATATTCCAGCAGGAAGCAGGAAAAATGCGTAATATATTACAGCAGGAAGCAGGAAAAATGCGCAATATATTCCAGCAGGAAGCAGGAAAAATGTGCAATATATTCCAGCAGGAAGCAGGAAAAATGTGCAATATATTCCAGCAGGAAGCAGGAAAAATGTGCAATATATTCCAGCAGGAAGATGGGAAAAATGTGCAATATATTCCAGCAGGAAGCAGGAAAAATGTGCAAATATATTCCAGCAGGAAGCAGGAAAAATGTGCAATATATTCCAGCAGGAAGATGGAAAAATGTGCAATATATTCCAGCAGGAAGCAGGAAAAATGCGCATATTACAGCAGGAAGCAGGAAAAATGCGCAATATATTCCAGCAGGAAAAAATGTGCAATATATTCCAGCAGGAAGCAGGAAAAATGTGCAATATATTCCAGCAGGAAGCAGGAAAAATGCGCAATATATTACAGCAGGAAGCAGGAAAAATGCGCAATATATTACAGCAGGAAGCAGGAAAAATGCGCAATATATTACAGCATGAAGCAGGAAAAATGTGCAAGCAATATATTCCAGCAGGAAGCAGGAAAAATGTGCAATATATTCCAGCAGGAAGCAGGAAAAATGTGCAATATATTCCAGCAGGAAGCAGGAAAAATGCGCAACATATTCCAGCAGGAAGATGGAAAAATGTGCAATATATTCCAGCAGGAAGCAGGAAAAATGTGCAATATATTCCAGCAGGAAGCAGGAAAAATGCACAATATATTACAGCAGGAAGCAGGAAAAATGCGCAATAATTACAGCAGGAAGCAGGAAAAATGCGCAATATATTCCAGCAGGAAGCAGGAAAAATGTGCAATATATTCCAGCAGGAAGATGGAAAAATGTGCAATATATTCCAGCAGGAAGCAGGAAAAATGTGCACGCAATATATTACAGCAGGAAGCATGAAAAATGTGCAATATATATTCCAGCAGGAAGCAGGAAAAATGCGCAATATATTTCAGCAGGAAGCAGGAAAAATGTGCAATATATTCCAGCAGGAAGCAGGAAAAATGCGCAATATATTTCAGCAGGAAGCAGGAAAAATGTGCAATATATTCCAGCAGGAAGCAGGAAAAATGCGCAATATATTCCAGCAGGAAGCAGGAAAAATGCGCAATATATTCCAGCAGGAAGCAGGAAAAATGCGCAATATATTACAGCAGGAAGCAGGAAAAATGCGCAATATATTACAGCAGGAAGCAGGGAAAAATGTGCAATATATTCCAGCAGGAAGCCGGAAACATGTGCAAAATATTCCAGCAGGAAGCAGGAAAAATGTGCAATATATTCCAGCAGGAAGCAGGAAAAATGCGCAATATATTCCAGCAGGAAGCAGGAAAAATGCGCAATATATTCCAGCAGCCGGTAATAAGGAAGAAAAACGCACGTTGATCCCCGAGATGGCAAAGACCGTATTCTGAGGGCAGGGAGACGACTGCGAGAGGCTAAGCCCGGGTTCAAACTGATGCCGTGCGGAAAGTGCAGCGCTTTCTATGCGATTTCCACACCGCATCCTGATCGCACCCGTTCATACGAACCGTGTGTATTGTAAGTTAACGACACCCCCGAAAGCGGTTTGCAAAACGCGATGCCATGGTTGTGCGTGGTTGTGAATTCCCATGCGATCCGATTCTGGTGCGGATTAAAAAAGGATCCTGCACTTTTTTTTTGCTGCGGATGCGGTGTGATTTGAGCCGTACAAACTGTATGGCTCAAATTGCACCGCACGGAAATCGCATGTGATTTGCAGAGGAATGTGGTGCGGTTCCTGTGCGAATCGCATGCGATATGCTGCACCCGATCAGTGTGAGCTCCGGGATCAGCAAATATCATCTTAATCCATTCCTCGTGTGTCTTCCTGAATCTCGGTGATGTTTATGTATTTCTTCCAGATCTGTGCCGTCATCCAGTGTGAGACTTCCTGGTATAAAGACCGCTCACTGCGGACCCCTCTCCTTGAGCAGGATGACTGGTCTTGTCTCCGCCCCCTCCTGTAGTTTTCTGTACTGGGTGGAGCCTGCTAGGCCCCTCCCACAGCTCTGCCCCCTCTCCTTGTGCAGGATGACTGGTCTTGACTCCGCCCCCTCCTGTAGTTTTCTGTAGTGGGTGGAGCCTGCTGTGCCTCTCCCACAGCTCGACCCCCTCTCCTTGTGCAGGATGATTGGCCTATTCTCCGCCCCCTCCTGTAGGTTTCTGTAGTGGGTGGAGCCTGCTCAGCCCCTCCCACAGCTTTGCTCTCTCTGCTTGTGCAGGATAACTGGTCTTGTCTCTGTCTCCTCCTGTAGTTTTCTGTAGGGGGTGGAGCCTAATGGGGGAGCCTGATCTGTGGGGGCACTCTGATCTATGGGGGCACTCTGATGGGGGAATTTGATCTATGGAGGAACCTGATCCATGGGGGCATGCTGATGGGGGAAACTGATCTATGGGGACACTCTGTTGGGGGAACTATCTATGGGGAATCTGATCTATGGGGTCACTCTGATAGGTGAACTTGACCTATGGGGGAACCTGATCTATGGGGGAACCTGATCTATGGGGGCACACTGACAGGGGAACCTGATCTCCTGGGGCAATCTGATGGGGTAACTTGATCTATGGGGGAACCTGATCTATGGAGGCATACTGATGGGGGAACCTGATCTATGGAGGCATACTGATGGGGGAACCTGATCTATGGAGGCATACTGATGGGGGGAACCTGATCTATGGGAGCACTCTGATTGGGACACATGATGTAAAAGGATGATCTAATGGGGACACCTGATGTAAGGAGGCACTCTTATGGGTATCCTGATGTAAAGGGGCACTCTGATGGGGACGCCTATTCTAAGAAGGAACTCTGATGAGGACACCTGATGTAAGGGGGCACTCTGATGGGGACACCTGATGTAAAGGGCAACTATGATGGGGACACCTGATGTAAAGGGGCACTCTGATGGGGACACCTATTCTAAGAAGGAATTCTGATGGGGACACCTGATGTAAAGGGGCACTCTGATGGGGACACCTGATGTAAAGGGCAACTATGATGGGGACACCTGATGTAAAGGGGCACTCTGATGGGGACACCTGATGTAAAGGGCAACTATGATGGGGACACCTGATGTAAAGGGCACTCTGATGGGGACATCTATTCTAAGAAGGAATTCTGATGGGGACACCTGATGTAAAGGGGCACTCTGATGGGGACACCTGATGTAAAGGGCAACTATGATGGGGACACCTGATGTAAAGGGCACTCTGATGGGGACATCTATTCTAAGAAGGAATTCTGATGGGGACACCTGATGTAAAGGGGCACTCTGGTGGGGACACCTATTCTAAGAAGGAACTCTGATGAGGACACCTGATGTAAGGGGGAACTCTGGTGGGGACACCTGATGTAAGGGGGAACTCTGGTGGGGACACCTATTCTAAGAAGGAATTCTGATGGGGACACCTGATGTAAGGGGGAACTCTGATGGGGACACCTATTCTAAGAAGGAATTCTGATGAGGACACCTGATGTAAGGGGGAACTCTGGTGGGGACACCTGATGTAAGGGGGAACTCTGGTGGGGACACCTGATGTAAGGGGGAACTCTGGTGGGGACACCTATTCTAAGAAGGAATTCTGATGGGGACACCTGATGTAAGGGGGCACTCTGATGGGGACACCTGATGTAAAGGGCAACTATGATGGGGACACCTGATACAAGGAGGTACTCTCATGGGGAACCTGATACATTTTTGATAGACACACAATGACTACAAGATTCATTTCTCCTCTGAGGAGCTGGGCCAGCACAGACAATAGACATTCCCAGAACTGAAGAGAGCTATGACATGCAGGGGCTGTTGGCAAACTGACACTTCCTGGAGTAGTCACATTTTTGTATCATTTTGGAGGCGCATTGTAATAAAAAAAAATTGAATTGTGGAAGGGGAAAAGTAAGCATCTAAAATACTTGCATTTTCTGTGCTTTTACCTCCAGTTTTTATTTTGGTGACAGTATTTTTAAACTATGAAATGACCAGTGTAAATGCTGGAATTGTACTTGATTGCAGCCTTTTGTGATATACTGTATGACAGGAAAGGAGGAGGAACACTAAGAGCCAATCGGGTGTCTGGCATAACAAGGAACATGCTGAGATAATGAGAGAGCAGAGAGATGACCTCATCAGTCTGTTGCTGCTCTTTCACTGTCCAATCAGAGGCCGGGGGCAGGCAGGTGACCAGTCTCTGTTGCGTAACTGCAGCTAATACAAGTCGGGTCACCATACTGGCTGTGCTGGGTGTCAGATCTGTGTAAATCCCAGTTATTTGTGGGGAGTCGGCATTATTCTTCCACCAGGTAGCAGCTTTATAAAACTCCTGGGCGCCGCTGAACCCTCCGACCTGCTATTAGTAAAGTCTAAACTCCGTTTACAATCAGCGTTTATATATATTATTGTCGGGTTGTGATTTCCTGCTGAGGTCTGTGACCCGGTTATAAAGACAAGGAAATACAGGTGAACTGATTCCAGTAAGTACTGAAAATAGAAAATCAGTTAGTTATGGTGCCGGTAGTTTGGTGACATTGCCAAGACCAGTAGATTCAGCACCAGTCCAGGGCTTTGGTCACATGTTCTCTGCCATCAGTCAGGGTTACCTCAATGTAGATTTGATGAGCAGCACTGGAGGGAGCCTGCGTTTTCTCCAGGATAGGGAAGTATTTGTCCTTTTTTGCTTCCATTTATATAGGGTATAGGGCCAAAACTGCCGTTAGAATTCATGGAGCCCCAGTACAGCCTGCCTTACGGGGCTCCCCCCAGTACACCCTATTGGTGGTCCCTACACCTTACTCTATACCCCCTGCATTCCTATTAGCCAGCATTGCATCTTACTTGTATCCCAGAACCCCCCCCCCTTCACTACCCTACACTCTACTGCCCCATTATCCTGCACTCTACTACTCCCCCATTACCCTGCACTCTGCACCCCCAATTACCCTACACTCTGCATCCCCCATTATCCTATACTCTGTATCCCCCATTACCCTACACTCTGCATCCCCCATTACCCTACACTCTGCATCCCCCATTATCCTACACTCTGCATCCCCCATTATCCTACACTCTGCATCCCCCATTATCCTACACTCTGCATCCCCCATTATCCTACACTCTGCATCCTCCATTACCCTACACTCTGCATCCTCCATTACCCTACACTCTGCATCCCCCATTATTCTACACTCTGCATCCCCCATTATTCTACACTCTGCATCCCCCATTATCCTACACTCTGCATCCTCCATTACCCTACACTCTGCATCCCCCATTATTCTACACTCTGCATCCCCCATTATTCTACACTCTGCATCCCCCATTATCCTACACTCTGCATCCTCCATTACCCTACACTCTGCATCCCCCATTATCCCTATACTCTGCATCACCCATTATCCTATACTCTGCATCCCCCATTACCCTGCACTCTACATCCCCCATTACCCTACACTCTGCATCCCCCATTACCCTACACTCTGCATCCCCCATTACCCTACACTCTGCATCCTCCATTACCCTACACTCTGCATCCCCCATTATCCTACACTCTGCATCCCCCATTACCCTACACTCTGCATCCCCCATTACCCTGAACTCTACATCCCCCATTACCCTACACTCTGCATCCCCCATTACCCTGAACTCTACATCCCCCATTACCCTACACTCTGCATCCCCCATTACCCTGCACTCTACATCCCCCATTACCCTACACTCTGCATCCCCCATTACCCTACACTCTGCATCCCCTATTATTCTACACTCTGCATCCCCCATTACCCTACACTCTGCGTCCCCCATTATTCTACACTCTGCATCCCCCATTACCCTACACTCTGCATCCCCCATTACCCTACACTCTGCATCCCCCATTATTCTACACTCTGCATCCCCCATTACCCTACACTCTGCATCCCCCATTATTCTACACTCTGCATCCCCCATTATCCTAAACTCTACTCCCCCATTACCCTACACTCTGCATCCCCCATTACCCTACACACTCTGCATCCTCCATTACCCTACGCTCTGCATCCCCCATTACCCTACACTCTGCATCCCCCATTACCCTACACTCTGCATCCCCCATTACCCTACACTCTGCATCCTCCATTACCCTACACTCTGCATCCCCCATTACCCTACACTCTGCATCCTCCATTACCCTACACTCTGCATCCCCCATTATCCTACACTCTGCATCACCCATTACCCTACACTCTGCATCCCCCATTACCCTGAACTCTACATCCCCCCATTACCCTACACTCTGCATCCCCCATTATCCTATACTCTGCATCCCCCATTACCCTACACTCTGCATCCCCCATTATCCTACACTCTGCATCCTCCATTACCCTACACTCTGCATCCCCCATTATCCTATACTCTGCATCACCCATTATCCTATACTCTGCATCCCCCATTATCCTACACTCTGCATCCTCCATTACCCTATACTCTGCATCCCCCATTACCCTACACTCTGCATCCCCCATTACCCTACACTCTGCATCCTCCATTACCCTACACTCTGCATCCCCCATTATCCTACACTCTGCATCCCCCATTACCCTGAACTCTACATCCCCCATTACCCTACACTCTGCATCCCCCATTATCCTATACTCTGCATCCCCCATTACCCTACACTCTGCATCCCCCATTACCCTGAACTCTACATCCCCCATTACCCTACACTCTACATCCCCCATTACCCTACACTCTACATCCCCCATTACCCTACACTCTGCATCCCCCATTACCCTACACTCTGCATCCCCTATTATTCTACACTCTGCATCCCCCATTACCCTACACTCTGCATCCCCCATTACCCTACACTCTGCGTCCCCCATTATTCTACACTCTGCATCCCCCATTACCCTACACTCTGCATCCCCCATTACCCTACACTCTGCATCCCCCATTATTCTACACTCTGCATCCCCCATTACCCTACACTCTGCATCCCCCATTATTCTACACTCTGCATCCCCCATTACCCTACACTCTGCATCCCCCATTATCCTACACTCTGCATCCTCCATTATTCTACACTCTGCATCCCCCATTATCCTACACTCTGCATCCCCCATTACCCTACACTCTGCATCCCCCATTACCCTACACTCTGCATCCCCCATTATCCTACACTCTGCATCCCCCATTATTCTACACTCTGCATCCCCCATTATCCTAAACTCTACTCCCCCATTACCCTACACTCTGCATCCCCCATTACCCTACACTCTGCATCCTCCATTACCCTACACTCTGCATCCCCCATTACCCTACACTCTGCATCCCCCATTACCCTACACTCTGCATCCTCCATTACCCTACACTCTGCATCCTCCATTACCCTACACTCTGCATCCCCCATTATCCTACACTCTGCATCACCCATTACCCTACACTCTGCATCCCCCATTACCCTGAACTCTACATCCCCCATTATCCTATACTCTGCATCCCCCATTACCCTACACTCTGCATCCCCCATTACCCTGAACTCTACATCCCCCATTACCCTACACTCTACATCCCCCATTACCCTACACTCTGCATCCCCCCCATTACCCTACACTCTGCATCCCCTATTATTCTACACTCTGCATCCCCCATTACTCTACACTCTGCATCCCCCATTACCCTACACTCTGCGTCCCCCATTATTCTACACTCTGCATCCCCCATTACCCTACACTCTGCATCCCCCATTACCCTACACTCTGCATCCCCCATTATTCTACACTCTGCATCCCCCATTACCCTACACTCTGCATCCCCCATTATTCTACACTCTGCATCCCCCATTACCCTACACTCTGCATCCCCCATTATCCTACACTCTGCATCCTCCATTATTCTACACTCTGCATCCCCCATTATCCTATACTCTGCATCCCCCATTACCCTACACTCTGCATCCCCCATTATCCTACACTCTGCATCCTCCATTATTCTACAATCTGCATCCCCCATTATCCTACACTCTGCATCCCCCATTACCCTACACTCTGCATCCCCCATTACCCTACACTCTGCATCCCCCATTATCCTACACTCTGCATTCCCCCATTATTCTACACTCTGCATCCCCCATTATCCTAAACTCTACTCCCCCATTACCCTACACTCTGCATCCCCCATTACCCTACACTCTGCATCCTCCATTACCCTACACTCTGAATCCCCCATTACCCTACACTCTGCATCCCCCATTACCCTACACTCTGCATCCTCCATTACCCTACACTCTGCATCCCCCATTACCCTACACTCTGCATCCCCCATTACCCTACACTCTGCATCCCCCATTATCCTACACTCTGCATCCCCCATTATTCTACACTCTGCATCCCCCATTATTCTACACTCTGCATCCTCCATTACCCTACACTCTGCATCCCCCATTACCCTACACTCTGCATCCCCCATTACCCTACACTCTGCATCCCCCATTATTCTACACTCTGCATCCCCCATTATTCTACACTCTGCATCCTCCATTATTCTACTGTCTGCATCCCCCATTATCCTACACTCTGCATCCCCCATTATTCTACACTCTGCATCCCCCATTACCCTACACTCTGCATCCCCCATTACCCTACACTCTGC